AAACCAGGACTGATCTCAGGACAAATCGCATGACTGAACCAGGACTGAACTAGGACTAAAAAAGGACTAAAACAGGACTAAACCAGGGCTAAACCAGAATTGAACCAGGACTGAGTGTTGGGACGGGCCCAGAGGTTCGCCCACTTAGACTGTCAGGTGACCACAGGCGAAAGGACCGGTTCTCCCTCTCTCTCACACAAGTCCAAGATTTGTCCTGGTTTAGAGCTGGTTTAGAGCTGGTTTAGTCCTGGTTCAGTCCTGGTTAGGCCCGTACCCATTTGTATCTGAACAAAACATGTCTTGCCCCAGTACCGATATGTTATATAAGCAGCTCTTGGGGTCAAAATAAGTCAGCTCTGTCCTATCGGCATCTAACTATCAAGCGTTTCATTTTACGAATAGCAGGAAGTGCACGGGTTGCATGCTAGTTGTCAGCGTTAATGCAGAGTTGTGACTAATTAGGATATGTGTAATCCTTAAGGTAAGTGAGGAATAACTTTGGACTACTGCAAATCATTTTTAAGACAGTAAAAATCAGGTAGAGTGCCTTTAGTACAAAATACGAGAAAACAGTGAACTCAGCGTGTAACGTGTCTCTATGTCCTGTAACAATGAAAATCAAAACTTCATCATTTCCACACTGCCACTTGTATCGAGGCATTTGATCAGAGGATGAGGACCGCGCCGGCAGAGAAGTAAATAGAACTAAATCTGGTGCGCTCTGGGGCTGCTCTGTGAAGTGTGAAAACAACTTTAGACAGTCTCCTCTCTCTCTCTCTTTACAATTCCTTGGCTCCTTATTTGCACAAAACTATTCACAAACAACTTTACACTTCTATTTTGGCTACTAGCTTTATTTGATGTGACAGTGACTAACCGGAGATGTTTGCGAAGAGTGAGGAGAGACATTCGGCCAATAATAAGCCCTTTTTTATAGCGCAGGAATACAACTTTTGACTTTTATGGACTTTTTTATGGACTTTTATGGCTTAAAAGTTGTAAAGTGTCCTGGTATTTTGCAGTTCAATGCTTAGTTTCCATCTTTCATTGTAAACATAAGAGCTAAACTCCTCTGTATCAGATTATAGTACATGCATTTGTGGGCACACCTCAGTCTCTCTCTTTAAGTCTTTTTCTCAGTCTCTCTTCTTCCCTCTCTCACTGGGGAACCTAATTAAGCTTGGCTGTTCTTTGATGTTGTCGCCTTGGCAACAGTCACCATGACAAGGCTGGGACTGCTCTCCTCTCTCTCTCTCTCTCTCTTTCTCCCTTTCTCTTTTTCTCTCTCTCTCTTTCTAACTCCCCTCACTCTCTTACAGTTTTCTTCAATCTCTCTTCACCTTTCTGTATTTATCCCACTTTTTGTTCTCTCTTCCCTTTCCTGCTCGCTCTCTCTCTCTCCGCTCCTTCTATTCTCTCCTCACCCTTTCCACCCTTTACTCCTCTTTACCTAACCCCACACTCTCTCTTCCTCCTCCTCTCCCTCACTCATTCATTTCTCTATACTCTGTCTCTCTTTTTCTGTCTCCTTTCACTCTTTGCCCCCTCTCTCTCTCCTCTTACTATTTCTCTCCCTCCTTCTCCCTTCTTCCCTTCTCTCTTTCCCTCTCCGACCACCCCTCTCTATCTCCCTCTTTCATTCTTCTAGTCTGTCGTTCTCTATCTGTTACTCTTTCTCCCTCTCTCCTCTTTTTCTCTCACCCCTTCCCGCTCTGTCCCTTCTCTCACTCCTTTCTTCTCTGCTTTCCCTCTCTTACTTCTCCTCCCTCCTTCCCTCCTGTCCCCTTCCTCCCTCCCTCTCTACCACTCCTCCCCTTCCCTTCTCTGCATCCCTCCCTCTCTTTCTTCCTTTGCTCTGTCCCTCCATCCCTCTCACTCCGTCTCCTTCCCTACATCACTCCCTCCTTTCTGCCTGTCCCTTCATCCTTTTCTCTCTCTGACTCTCTCTCACTCTTATTCTCTCTCTTATCTCTCTCTCTTTTTTAATGTTATGATGATTGTTTATGTTTTGACTTGTTCATATTGTGATTTGAATGTATTTCTTATTTTGTAAAGCAGTTTGAATTACTTTGTGTACAAATTGTGCTATACAAATAAACTTGATTTCCTCCTTCCTCTCTTTCACTTTTCTTCCTTTACTCACCCGCTCACTCTCACTCTTCCTCCTTCTTTCTCTCTCCGTCTTTCTCCCTCACTGGTTCAGTCCTTACACAAACACATTTCTCACTGTTTGACATCATTAAGACTTTGCCGAGTGTTTGACCGTGGTTCAAACGCAGCGTCACGCAGGTGCACTCAGGCGCCTCAGACACGTGTCCTTCCTGTATCAGATAAACCCAAATGATGATCAAAGGTTCATAGGTTACTCATGACGCCAAACAGATGGAGATAAAGAGTGCAGCTGTCAGCCTTGTTTTCTTTGACTGCACATCACGCCGGTTTCTTTTCTTAAATAAATGTTTGTGCTGGTTAATAGGCCCTCAACATGAATCATGGGTAAAGAGAAGAGTTAGAGCGTCTGATAAAGCAACTGATGTTTAGTGAGTCTCTATGGGACCATAACCAGTATTAAGTGTATTGGAGTATTAAAGAAGACATGATGCATTGGTTTATTTTAGTACTGAACTATAACACACACCATTATTTTACATTTTGTTAATTGTTAAGTTCCATATTGATTAGGGATGCACTGAATATTCGGCCGAATATTGCAAAATAAGCCACATTCAACTTGGTGGAGTGAGTTAAAAGTAAGGCTGAATAGTGGCGTGTGACGCAATCAAACAACGTGCAGTGACTCAATGATCTGGCGCCTTCTTTAAAATGTCGGCAGTGTGGAAATATATAAGCACACACTTATTGACATTTACTTGAGCCTTCTGTTTACATTATTATTATTATCTACTGTTAGTCAGGCTGGGGCCACCTAGTGCCTCTGCTCAGTTTAATTTTTTTCCAGCAACTAGGTCAGGAATCAAAACAAAATAGATAGTTTGCAAAAACCCCGGAAGTGCAAGTTCTGGCACAAGCCAATCAGTCATATAAGAGTCATATATTCAGTGTCAAGTGTCAACGATTCCCGAGATCGAGGATTTAAAGCCGGAATAAAGAGAATGTTTGGTGAATTTCATCAAGGGGAAAGACGTTATTCCCCTTCTTCCTACGGGGTTTGGGAAAAGTTTATACCAGTTAGCCTCGTTAGCGGCGCATTACATATGTCACAACTAAATAGCGATTGGTTAAATGATAAAAAGTACCTGCCTACGGTCGAGCGAATGAAATATAAGGCTGCGAGGTCAGACGGTTTGTACGAAGTGAAACGAAGTAAAACTGGCTGATGAATCAGGCTAATCTACTGTGGCTAAACAACCACAAGAACCAAAAGGACAATAATTCATTTGCTGTGGGTTTATCCACTTTATTGCACCTAAGTTTTTTTGGAATTGTTTTGTTTGAAAGCCTGGCCTAATATTAATGAAAAACTTACTGGAAAGACTACTGGAATATTTTTAAATAATTTTAAATAAACACTTACTTTCTTTTAAAAACATGTCTAAAATGAATTCTAGGCTATTTCTGCAATTAAAAAAAATATTTAAAAAAATAGTGAAAAACTTAACAACCACACTTGATATTCAGTTTCGGTATTCGGTCAAGTGTTTAATTTTTATTCGGTTTCAGGCAGAAATTTTCATTTTGGAGCTAAAAAACCCTAATATTGTTCTCCTCTTCATCAGTCCCTTTCTCCTTCCTCCTCCTAACCTGCCTCTCTTTCTCACTCCTCTCTTTTCTATCTCTCCTCACCCTTTTTCCCCACCCTGTTTCTCCCTTCCTAGAAGCAGGTCCAATGATTTTCTGTTCAAAACTACAGAACTTTATTGTGCCGTTTTACTGTAGTAAGCAGTGACTTTTTATTATTTATACTATAACATTGTCATGTTTTATTGTCAATGAATACAGTGGATGGAAATAGGGGGTAGGTGACAACAGGAATTTTCTGAGCATTCAAATTCGAAATGTGGCACTGACTGAGGACTATACAGACACAAGATTATCAGGATGGAATAGTCTGATGTTATTCTTTACGTCTATTCTAATGTGTAGACCAATTAACTGTAGATTACTCATTTTGCCCCATGATAATTGATCTGTGTTTCCCCAAATCTCTGCACAGTTAAGCTGGACATTAAGGAGCAATTTGATTTTATACTTTTTATAGTGAAGATGTCCACAGTTTTCACTGTATATATTCATAATATATCGTGTTTTTGGTTACGCAGTTCTGGGACTCTGCAGACTCTCCCTCGCTCTCTTTCTTGCCTCTAGTCACTCTTAGGAATGTTTCATAGCATGCATATAAAATTATTTTGGAGTACACTTAGATTTCAGCCTCATTCCAGCAGATTACACACAGTGGGAAATGTTGCATTACTCAATGCCTTCATCTTCCTGATATTTCTAAAGTTGTGCACTTCCTCTGCTTTTCATTCATGTGTTCTCAGTCCTCCACCCCCTCGCTCAGCTCCAGCCCTGTTCCTGTCAGCGCAGACTGTAGACGGCCTTCTGTAATCAAACCAGATCTAACCTCTAACTACAGCTCATAATGTGATTAACAGTCACAACAGTAATGAACATGCGTGTGCTGCGAGGGAGAGGGGGCTGCAGTTACACAAACATGAGACCTGTTCACAGCACACTGCGTTTGTAGAGGATGTTGTGAGTGTGATAATTAGTTGTGGATTTTGCTAAAGAAGTAGCACTCTGGATGATGTGTTTCCTGTAGAGTTGTGTTTTCTGAAAATAAGCCCACTTTCTCTGAATAGGCTGAATACGTGACTGATTACATGGAGATGTTTTACATTTTGTCAGACAGACTTAAGCTGAAATCGGCCTGATTCCTTCAAACATCAGCTCACTCATCTGACGGATGAGTGGACTATGTCAGTGGAGCGTGAATAGGAAACTTTCAATTCCATTAAAACTCTTTTCTGCCCCTGCAGCTGTTTGTCATCGACAACGGGGCGGACGACTGGCGCATCGCCATGACGATGGAGCGGGTGCTGCTCATCGCTCTGGAGCTGCTGGTGTCTGCGGTGCACCCGGTGCCCGGGGACTTTAAGTTCCAGTGGAGGGCACGGCTGGCCTTCTCCTACGCTCCGTCCCAGGCCGAGGCAGACCTGGACATGGTGCTTAGCGTGCCCATGTTCCTGCGGCTCTACCTCATCGCCAGAGTCATGCTCCTGCACAGCAAACTGTTCACCGACGCCTCGTCCAGGAGTATAGGAGCCCTCAACAAGGTCTGTGCAACACTCAGAAACAAGTCTGTGCACACTCCACACAGCTTAAGTTTACAGAGGAAGAGTTATGTGTATGTACTCATAACAGCTTAAGAGAGAAGGAGGTCTGTGGCTCTGATGTAGAGGTCAGACACTTTCAGAATCAAATCTATGTCTTTGATCCTTGGCCTTATTTATATATTTTTATATTTTTCCATCTCAGTCTTTTTCATTGTAACTTCTTTCTTTTCATCAGCACTTCAAATCCCCTTTCTTTCCCTGTGTTATTACAGTGCATACAGACTTAGACGTAAGCCATGGTGCAGCGCTCATAACACAATATGAGACGGGAGCGTGAAATGGGAACAAGATAATGCAAAAGTCAAATGGGCCATGAAAAGAACCAAACAGAATGAGATTTCCACACGAGTGCTGAGGAATGTGAACATGACATACATTAAATGATTGGCATGTGCGCGTGTGCATGTAAGCTCCGCCGTGTTGAAGAATAGGTTGCCTTCACTTTTCAGAATTTGATTACTTCAGGTGAGGGCAGTGGCCTATATAACTAATCTATGTTTTTTGAAAGAAATCTCCAAACTCATGATTGATTCAGAAAGTGGCCCTATTTGTATATTTCTTGCAGTGAATCTCCCCTAGAGTTATACAGATCCCTGACCTCAATCTGAAATTGTGACATAATCAAGTTCTGGGATGTGAACACAACGTATTAGAGCAAAAGACTTTGACAGCAGAGTGTAGAGAGCAGCACTAGAGGGTTTATCTGTGGTGACGTGACACTATACTCTGACCCTGAGGTGACACATGTGACAAGGGGAGGTGTTGGAGGTGTTGTTATTGCTGAAGTTGGAACAGGACAACTCATTTATCAGCTCTTAACCCTTCAAGGACCTGCCCCTGTGCGCTCAGATCCATACCGTTTATATTGCACCACTTATTCACAAATGAACATCGCTGACTACACTGCAATAGGCCAATTACTTCAAGACTGAGGCAGGAGTCAGAGGGCGAGTCCCCATCTCCCATTACAGTCAAGAGTCTGTAAGTGCAATCAAAAGCTGGAGACGATGGGAATCTAATGGGAAATGCAATTAATTTTTGCTCATTATTTTATATAGTATGTGCTTCCGGAGTTTTCTGTCCCATTTTGCTCTCCAGACCTGCTGCATCTGTAGGTGTCATTGGCTCTGTCCTTTGTCCAGCCAGATAAACACACAAACACTTGACTTCTTTTTCTGTTTGTTTTAAAACCTTGAAAAATAACTGGAGCATTTTTTCTAGGAAGCTTAAGATTTATAAAAAGTCCTTAAAATGGTGCCTATAACTGGACACTGAAACCCAGCGATATCCAAGCCTGTAAGTAAGTAAAGATGGTTGTGTCAGGCGTCCAAAATAAAAAGCAGAGCCAATTGGTGTTGTTTTTTGCACAGTTAGCCCTTGTTGCCCTAGTTTGTGGTCCTTTATTTTCTAATAATAAGATCTCTCAGGGCAGTCACCGTGCACCTCCTTCTCCTTTGAGTTTTAGGCCAAACCCAGACAGAGACATAGGTTTGTTTATTTCAGTGACCCATGGGAAACAAGCAAGTCATACATTTAATACTTGCTGACTCCTGCATTAAGGGTCAAGTTTCTGAGCTCAAAAACCCAACTGTTTTCTGATATTAAGAGGATTAAGGGGATTGTGGACATGAAATCCCAAGGTATGTTGTCTTTTAGCACAACAAGAACATAAATTTAATCACTTTTGATTTCTCTTTTTGTAGAAATGTATTGTAGCAAGTGTTTGTCCACTTTTCTGAAGGTTGGTGGTTGGTTTGAATTTTAGGTTAGATTAGGTTGCTTTATTCTTCTTGCTCTTAACATAAATATCATTGGGTTGGAGTTAAATAACTATTTACTTTCCTCCCACTCCTTTTCGGACACAAAAATCTGCATGACATTTGTATTATATCTATGTATTTACATTTTCTGTGCATGTTCTGTGCTGTCCGAATAAACATTCATTCATTCATTCATTGTTGCACTAGCACAGGTTGTCGGTGCAATTCCAGCTCCCACAGATGAATGTAGTCGTATATATTTGGGCAAAACACTTAACCCACCTTTGCCTCAGTGTTGGCGTACATTGTTGTATGCAGACATTAGGTGTGTGTGAATGGGTGAGTGGTTTTTTGATGTGCCTTGAAAGTGGAAAAGCGCTGTATAAAAATGTGACCACTGATACATATTGTGAGACTAAAATTCATTAAAATCACAATAGGCCTGCAGCATTGTATTCAGATTAGGAGATCATCACTGGGTCACCTCGCTATTCTAACACATTGTTGTTTTTGCAGGTTCATTTTAACACACGCTTTGTAATGAAAACGCTCATGACTATCTGCCCTGGGACGGTGCTGCTGGTCTTTAGCATCTCCCTGTGGATCATCGCAGCCTGGACCGTGCGAGTGTGTGAAAGGTGGGTCACCATTCTCCATTCACGCGATATGACAAAGAAATGTTTCAATATTTATTCCTCATAATGATCAATAACATTTTTTTATTTTGATTCAGTCTTATTAAACAAATAAACAGTGCTTTCACTATTAAGGCCTTTTAAAACAACAAAAAATCTGAACTCTGCTCCACATGCTTTTACTGACAGGATTGGTTGTGGTTTTCTTAAAATGACTCAGACTTATCATTGACGATTAGAGATGATTGAATCTCAGTCTTGATTAAAATTTGATAATTGCGCAGCCGTACTGTAAACCTTCGAGCCCTGGTAAGCAGTAACCTCCAAGAGCTGTCATGGAAATTTGCCCTCCAAGAGCACGATGCCATAAAACTATTAGCATCTCGTGTTGACACATTTTGATACTAAGAAAAAAGGTTTGATTGTTGATAACACAAAATTTGAACAGTTGCTATAGCAATTAACAATAGTATTTTTTTTTCCATGTTGTCTTATACTAGTTCTGATTAGGGTTGGGCATGATTAATCAGCTAATCAATAATGTAAAAAATGTAGTCGATCACGTTCATATTTAATTGACGAACTGAATGTAGGTTGCTGTGTGTAGCGTAAGGAGACGAGGCTGCATCTGACAACGCAAACACTGGAGTTGGGGCCTCAGTCCCATGTTTTGGCTCTGACACCTCCTTGTTGATCATTCAGTGAGTGTGTTTATGGCACATCAGTGTCCCGGGTATGACTGGGTTTTTCGAGTGTTCCGGTTCCGTCATGGTGCATGTAAACGCAGTATCCTGGTTACTGTACCATAAAGTTGAGTGCACATGCGTCCAAAAGACAAATACTTTTCTTGTCTTATTTGTCTTTTCATCACAACAGTAGCCAAAATAAATAAAGTGACCAACATAAATAAAGTGAGTGAAAACCTGTGCACGTCATGAACATGAACCATCTCCAAAGCGACATAAACACAGAACAGACTCACCATCAGCATTATCAACACCCCTCTGTCCCAAAAAGAACACTCATATTCCACTGAGTCCTGTCCTTTAGTCCAACAGAAGCTGAACCGCATCAGTGCACAAGGAAAGAGCTGTTTTTTTTTCAGTGCTTGTAGTTTATTCAAATTAACTATGTGGTTTTAAGTTTCGTTTTTTGTAAGACGTAAACAAATGTGCCAGAGCTGCATTAAACACTTTATATTATCAAACGGGCTGATGTGGCTCTATAGTCGTTATGGTTTATATGTTGTAAATTTGAGTTTATTTATGCAGATTAGTAGTAGTAATAATAATGATGATAATTTTCATATAAAAACATTAATGATGAATCAAAAATCAAGTGTTAAGTCTCCCTACAAATAAATTTAATCAAATGCCCATCCCTAGTTCTGATATAGAGCAAGACTATCCTAAAACTATTCAGGAAAGGTCTGTTTATGCCTTATTAATTTTTTCACTGTTTAATTTGTAACTATCTTCAGTAGCCTATTAGGTTTAATATCAATTAGTATGTGGCTATCGATTTTTTGTCTACCCTAATAGAATTAGTGAAGTATTTATAGAAGATTTTGTAAATAGGATGTAATAATAGCATGTAATTATCCAGTAACTTGTAGCTCCTGGTTCTGTGCTTCTGTTTATGTCTGTGGGACACACCACAAATAAACCAGACTGGGCCGTAATGGGACAATGAATTCAATAGAGAAATTAAATTGATTTGGCAGGAAATATAATCTGAGACATGTGTGCAATGTAATAGAGGTTTAGACTATGGTTTATGAGGCTTTTCAACAGTTGGATCATTAAGTTGGTCCAGACAGTGGAGTTAATTACTTCATTTGGTTTGTATTCATTAGTATACAACAAAGGCATATAGTATAAATAGGTGGTAGGTGCTTAATGAGCTCTTTGCTTCTGCATGCTCCTTTTGGGTATTGTTACTTGTGGTTTCTGGTAAAATGATGCTTCAGTGTTGCTTTTTAAGATGAAAATAAATGAAGTAATGCATATTCTAGTGAAATGGAGACACTTTTGGAGCGATTTGCCGATATGTTTGGAGCTCAACCGTGACAGACCACTAAAAGGTTCCAGATGAATTTCCAAGTGATTTTCTGATACTTTCCAAAAAATAAGTATTAAAAGTTTGAGAATCATAATTTAATTTATAATGTCTATCTTAAACACAAGACATTTAGACAAATTGTAGGTGTTCAATCTGTTTTCTGGACTAAACATAGCCTCTGTTATACCTTTAAACTCATAATACTTTGAAGTATACGAAAATTCTATGGGCAAAATGAATAGGAAATTCACTTCCTGCAACCTCGCCAGACTTCAAAGCAGGCAGGACTGTTAAGCTCCATAGCTGTGCTACAATAACAAGTTTTGAATTGCTTTATGTACCGAAAACAATAACCCTAAAACAGCATCTTACCAGTAATGCCTTTTCCCGATGAACCTTGTCATAAATAAAATATGAGCTGCATAAAATAAACAATCAAATACTTAAGCAGGTAATAAGTATCCACTGTAAGTCATAGGTATATACATTATTCTTGTGTTCAAATGTTTACGTTCTACAAGGAGAAGTACAAATACTGAGCCGAAAAATATGATTCAATTTCTCATTTATTGAACGTTAAGTCAATATAGTACTTATGTGTGAAACAGTGAGTATGTTTTCGTAGAAAGGTATAATGTGTCCAGGGCGGAGAAGCTTGGACTTTTTTACATCCAGGATAGTGGATGTAAAATTAGTTCACTCTAGGGACTTTAACCTGAGTAACTGAGTGCCCTTACATACAGTGCAGGACTGAACTAAAACTCTCATCAATTGTTAATACACAGGATATGAATGTTAAATAAGAGCAGGTCAACAAAATGTCATCCACACATATATGCCTGTCATGATAAATCAAGGTTCAGAAAACACTGTCTCCATGGAGATGTCACTGCTTGGCTTAAAATGTTACACACTATGGCTTTTAACGTACTTAGAGTAGGGTTGTTTCGCCATCTAATTGTGTTCATGGAAATAAATAAGTTCAATGCCATACTGTGGAACATTCGAGGCAAAGAAATAGCATCGCCATGGAAACAAGCAGGTGTTGGGAACTTCACCAGAAACTGCAAGGTGCACCTGTAATACCACTGACACAATAACCCTAAAGCACGATGATAAAATGTTCCCCACGAGAACGAGCACTTCCAATTTATCAGACAAAAGCTCAATATAGAAATACATCTTGGTGCGGGTTTATCATATGATGCTACAGACAAAAGGAACCTCGAGGAGAAATTGGTAAATGTCGTCTGTTTAATAATCTTGATTAAAAGTCTCACTGGCCAGCTGCTGGTAATCCGCTCTCTGATCTGCATCCAGGCGCCATTGGCATTTCTTTTATAGACTGCTTCAGAAAATGTATAATCCTTTCATTAAATAGCAAAATGACTCAAAGCTTGTCATTTTAGAATAGCAAAACACACACAGCGCTGTCTGTACAAATCACAGACATGTGTTACACTCAAATAAAAAACTGAAGGTTTTAGTATCTTCAGAACCTCACCACTATAGTAACTCTAAGAATCAAAAAACATTTACCCGAACCTTTTCATTAGTCAAAAACATAAAATTATAAACAACCTGATAACCTGCGGAGTCTTTACTGGTGAATATATTTATCATGCTATATTAGGAGAACACTTTTTTGTATTCAAAGTTTTTTGCAACTAAGATTTTTATTCATTTTAACTAACTAACTTTAAATTCTATGCTGTAACAACCCCGTAACAAACTCCACTGTTATTGTAGCCTACATAAATAACTATAAAAATATAATTAGGAAATTATTTTTTTATTATTATCATTTCAGAATACTAAAAGAGATTTGTTCAGAATGTCAGGGTTTCTCTGTATTCACAAAAATCTGAGAGATATGTTACATTCAGTAATACAGTGAAAATGTTTTAAAGAGATAACTTCTTTTGAGAGGCTCATGTGATTAGTTGCTATGGTAACTCTATTGTGCAGGAGGCGGAGAGGACGGTGGAGCAGTTAAATGTTTTGTGTGACACTGTAATGGTATTGTTTTATGAGGCTCTGAGTGAATGCTGTGGGTTGCAGGTATCATGATGCCCAGGATGTGACCAGTAATTTCCTGGGGGCCATGTGGCTTATCTCCATCACCTTCTTGTCCATTGGCTACGGCGACATGGTGCCTCACACCTACTGTGGCAAAGGAGTGTGTCTGCTCACTGGAATCATGGTCAGTACAAGTTTGTCTTTCTCTGTGTGTTCTAGTGTTGTAACAATTTTACGATTTTTCAAATTTAAACTCAAGTTTTGATATTATGAACAATATTCTCAATACTCTATATCAATTTCAGAATTTCAGTTCCATAATGATATATTTTTCTAGTTTGTGAATATAAATTGTGATAAATCAGGATAGTATAGTTGTTTTGTAGTCTTAGAAAAGTTAAATAATTGTTTTTAGTATACCGGCTTAAATATAATTTCGATACCAGTTTTAGATTTGCAGTTATGCTAAAGAGGTGGCTGTAGGCTGTCATAATCATCATAATATAGCAAATTACATTATATCTGTAGGTAGCAGAGGTGGGTGACTTGCGAGTCGTGACTTGGACTTGAGTCAGACTTGAGTCACTATTTTTAGGACTTGAGACTTGACTTGATAAATAAAGGTCAGTGACTTGGGACTTGACTTGGCTTGAGCCCTGTGACTTGAGAAGACTTGATGCTTCTCCTAAAAAAAATATGTTTTTAGAAAATACTTTTCTCTTTTCAGTTGTTAAATGCAGTGCTTAATTTTACAGAAACAAACTGGAACATGTCCCTCCCACATCTTTGTTTCTTACTTTGGGTGTAATTGAAGTACTGAGAGATGGTATCCTCAAATGTACTACAGTAATATACAGTACAATACAGTACAACAGAGGGAAGTACATAGAACATGAGCCTTCCATTTCAGTTCAGACTATATGACAAAATAACGGTTATTTAGCACTTTTAAATCTTAATTCTTTCTGTTCTGACTGTAATGATTCACACTAAAATCTTGTCAAGACATTTAAAAAGGAAAAATTTGCATTTCTTCAACTCTTATATAAATACTTATATATAAATATACCATGACTTTTTAAGTACAATTTTGTTTAAAAGTCATATAAATTGCAAAAATCTAAACTGTAGTTGGTGCTTTTTTGGTTTAAAGACTTGAAATGACATGAAGCTCAAAGGAGACGACTTGGACTTGACTTGGTCTTATGGGCCAGTGACTCGAGACTCGACTTAGATTTGCCTGTCTTTGACTTGGGACTCAACTCCGACTTGAGGTCAAAGACTCAAGACTTACTTGAGACTTGCAAAACAATGACTTGGTCTCACCTCTGGTATGTAATATAATACTTTTGCAAAAATTAAAAGTTACAGGACAGTTCTGTGCAAAGGTGAGCCCACTTACCACAAGAATGCATGTTTTTTGAGGGGTTTTAAAAAATACATGTACTGTAATTGGAAAAAAAAGCTATAGCCACTAGAGTATTTATGTAATTTATGAGCATTGTTACCACTTAATTAATGGGCCTTTCTATACATGTTACTATATTCGGTTATCAGCCACAACAGCAAGAAAAAAACTGTAATCTGCAACCAAAAAAAAACACACACACATGGGAGCATTTGTATCTGCCCTCACCTCATTCAAAGGTCGACAGATTAGAGCAGCGTGTATTTGCGCCAGAGAAATAGTGGCATTTGGGTAATTTGGGCAACCCTCCCTGAATTAGCCTGCATCTGTGCTGTGTGTTTTGGACGTGTAGGCGAGCTAACAGGAGCTAACAGGAGCCGTGTGTTATTCCCTTGTCTGTTCTGATTGCATAATGAAGGTCCCACTTTCCCCTGTGCCATGTCCTCCCACTCTCTGCTCCTTTCTCTCCTTTTCTCTCTCTCTTTCTATCTGTCTATCTTGACTCTTCCCTCTCGCTTTTTCTCCTTCTCTACATGTCTCGCCATCTACTTCTCTTTTCTCTCTGACTCTCTTCCGGTTCTTCACTTCTCTGTACTTAAACTCACCCGCTCTTTCTCTCATTCACTTTTCTCTTTTCACTCTCCTGCCCTCTCTTTCTGTCACTTTCTCCTTCACTGTCCTTCACCTCTCTCTCTGTCCTTCAAATCTCCCCTTTGCTTTCTTTCTCTCTCTCTTTCACTCCTCTTCCCACTCATTCTCATCCCCTCTCTCTCATATGCTTTCTCTCTCTCCTTCTCCTTCTCTTTTTTCTTCTATCATCCCCTCTCTGTCTGACCATCTTATCTTCGCCTTAGGCCATGTGTTTATTTCTTAGTCCGTGTGTTAGTATCACTGGGAGAGCCATTGACAGCTCCTCCATTTGCTTCACTTCACAGGTATCCCGCGCTCCACAAACTCGCCCACCAATACTTACATGACTTTGTTCTGCGCTCGCTCCGTGGCTTTCATCTTGTCACATCTTGTTACTGTCTCTGTGCTGTGGAAGTCCAGACCCCAAGGTTTCATCATCCTCCTCATTGCAGCCAATCATAGTGACTGACAATAAAAGCAGTTTAAGATTTTGAATATATCAATACACTATGGGCATTTATTCTAATTATTACATAACGTTTATTATATTTAGATCAGAAGATGCAAAGGGCGTCGTAGTACACATTTTATAAGGCAAGACTAGTTGAGTTGCTCATGTTTAATGTATTAATGTATTAATGTATTAATGTATTGGCAAGGACAATGCAAGACACTTACTTGGCAAGTTGACTGTTGTAATGCCTACAGCAGGGATCTCCAACTTTTTTCCTCAGGTGAGCTACCTTTTACAAAACAAAAATTCTAGAGAGCTGCTCATTTCAGCGGCCACAGAAAATAAAGTATACATAAGAGCCATAGCTAGACTCAGATGGAGTAGAGTTGGATAAAACATAAAACGTAAACCATTATTTATTTATGAAAGATAGATTTACAATAATAAGAATTTAATTAATCAAATTTGAGTTATTCAGGACACACGTGTAATTCAGAAATCCCCTGGCGAGCTACTTGGAAGGGGGTGGAGAACTGCTGGTAGCTCTCGAGCTATAGGTTGGAGACCCCTGACCTACAGGGTGTTTTCTTCACACTTATGGTTTAGTCCTGGTTTGAGTCCAATTTAGACTTTAGGTTTAGGTGTGGTTGTGGTTAAATGAGATGTTATTTGATGTCTTCAAATTGCAACAAAGGGTTTTTAGTTTAAGAAGTGTTGCCTCTCCAGATCTTGAGCTAGGCTTGATGAGGACTTTCTGAGTTGAAGGATTACCTATTGTGAATATTTAAGGTTGTCCCTGAAGTGCCCCTGTTCTGTCAATCATCTGACGAGCAGAACAACCAGAGAATTCAATGATCACTGATGCAATTCCACCCCCAAACTCTTAGTGGCAGTCGAGCTACTACGTCAATACAACTTAATGGGAGAAGAAACAGATCTGTGGAGGGCTTTTTTTTACTGTCTATGCTTGTATTTGCACTGTACTGAATTAATCATTTGTGTGCTTGGATGTGGCCCCTGAATGTAACATGGCCCCTGTTTCAGAAAAATCCTAGAACCACCACTGCCCAGAGGAAACCCACCCAGACACAAATTCCATGCAAATTCCACACGGAAAAGCCCAGACAGCTCAGGAGTCAGACCCAGAACCTTCTTGCTGTGAGGCGAGAATGCTATAGCCTGATTCATCATCCGGTTTCACTTTGTGGAAACTGTCTGGCCTTGCATCATTAGGATTCATTCGCTCAACTGTAGGCAGGTACTTTTTTTATTTAACCAATCGCTGCTATTTGGTCGTGATGTTTGTAATGCTCCGCTAACAGGGCCAACTGGTATATTAAGCTTTTCCCAAATCCCATAGGAAGAAGGGCAATAACGTCTTTCCCCTTGATAAAATTCAGCAAACATTTGTTCCGGCTTTAAATCCTTGATCTCGGGAATTGTTGCCAACACAGAATGTAAGGCTCTTCGCTGACTGGCTGGTGCCCCAACTTGCACTTCCAGGGTTAGCCAGCTTGGCTAAGAATGCTGTGCCACCAATATTAATTATATGTATTTAATTAGCCGACATTAAAGTCTTACTGTGTAATCTTTTACCCAAAATACTACTAACACTCTGAAACACATGCAGCCTCACTGTGAGTGGGTTTGCTCTCCACAGACTTTGTAATTTAACCCAAAGTTATGCAGTAGGCTTTAATAAACTCTTTCATAATCCAGGATCAGTTTTCTTTTTATCCACATATAACTCAGCGTTTACAAACAGCTGTGTATCAAACAAATACAAAAGCAATAGTCATGAAGTGGGTTGAACTGCTACTATTTTTGTCACTTAACACAATCGAGAGCAGAGCCGTGTTCATGGCTGCCTCTCTTTTCGTGCTTGTACATTTGAAAACATGATAAGTGAATAAACACTACCACGCTGACCCCCATTTGCTGAATGACTCATCCAATAGACATTTAGTGCCCTTCTCTTTGGTTTTTGTGAGCGCCCAGAGTGAGTCGATACACATCATTCTGATCCCGCCTCTCTCAAACCGGCAGTGGGCGATAAGGACAAAAGGAGATATAATGATAAATGAAAAATAGAATCTATACAGTAGATATGCAAAAGCACAGTATATAGAAGTAAATCATCAAAAACTAATTTAAAATGCTACATAAAAAGCTGGTCAAAAATAAAAAAAAGTAATATAAAAGTGTTCTCAAACCCGAGGCGGGTGATATGCATAAAAGGCGATATAATTACAACTGAAAAATATGATGAATAGAGTCAGAATTAGTCCTGAAAAATAATTTAAAAGGTTGCAGAAAGAGATGATTAAAAATAAAATGAAGTGGTTTAAGAGTGACTTTTCTGCACTTTTGTGTTTGATTTGACACTCCTTACCTTTTGCATTTCTTGAGCTGCATTTACAGCAGGTTTGATGAGTTATCACATCTTACTTCAATATTGGCAAAGGAGAAATAGGAGAAATGAGTAGGATGTTAGTTTTAGACTAATTTCAGTGTAGTTAGCTCCTCCCTACAGGCAGATATAAGGAAGTGTCCACCAGCATTCTCACCAGAACTGAAGAAGCAGCCTGGATGAGCTGCCATGGATTTTGCCTAGCCTTATTCATCAAGCAGTTTCACTTTGTGGAAACTGTCTGACCTCAATGGTAGGTAGATACTTTTTTTATTAACCAAT